CGCTGCCTCGCAGTGACGAGGGGAGCTCGCGGCTGAGCTGCGAGCAGCGGCAATGTAAAATAAATGGGATTTCAAACCGGGCCTGCACCTATGATTTATGGGTGTTTTCAAAGCCCCATGTGAGCAGCATCACTACTGCCTACGGGAAGTGGCACTTCCAATCTTCTCTTTTGAAGAGCTTACGGAGAGTGTTAGGGAGGAAGCGCTTTTGCAGGCAATGTAAAATAAATGGGATTTCAAACCGGGCCTGCACCTATGATTTATGGGTGTTTTCAAAGCCCCATGTGAGCAGCATCACTACTGCCTACGGGAAGTGGCACTTCCAATCTTCTCTTTTGAAGAGCTTACGGAGAGCGTTAGGGAGGAAGCGCTTTTGCACCGTCATCGCCATGCTAGTTGAATTAGAATTAATAAATATTGGTATTTGAAAGGTGGCTTCTGGCATGGCGCAGGGGTCCCCCCTTCCCAGCAATGAAGCGTGTCGGATCAAAGGTGAAAGGCAGCCGGAGCGTTTGGTGGATAAGCCAGTTCTCTGCCAGTTGCGCAGCTTGCAGGAGGCGCAGAGGGGACGGTTTTTAAAGTATCAGGTACCTGAGTCCCCGGCGTTACCTCTCCAGAAGGCTTTGCTGCATTTGGCTCTGTCCCTGCTCCCCACGATACACAGGCATTAAGTGAAAAAATGCCAGGGAGAGGGAGAGGGGAGCTGCATAAGGTCGAGGAGCAGAAGGGCTGCTGAAACGTTGTCCAGCGACGGCAACTTGCCCACTGCTTTGGTGTCTCTCCGAAACATTGACCCCCCTGTTCTGCTCCGCGGTGGGTTTGAAATCTGGTGAATCCAGCCCAGGGACTGGCCACCTTGAGGACTTTTTTTTCTTCTTTTTTTTATCCCACATAGAGCCCTCTTTGGTCTGCTTTTGGCAAACTGCCAAGTAATGCGCATGAATTGGCTTGACCAGCTGTAGGAACCCAATTGTCCTCCCCTGCTCCCCATTATGCATGCTTCCTGCCCTGCTAAATGCAGAAAGGTCGTTAGCGCGGACTCCAGTAAATTATTAGAGATACACCCTTAATTGCTGCATTGTGCCGGCTTGTTTTCCGACATCTTTGCGCTGTCTGGGCTCCTTGGTCTCCTACGGAAAGCCTGGGACCCACGCTCCAGGGAAGGGTCAACAAATCCTAGGGGGAAATAAAGGGGAGGAGGGGGCAGATCCCACTAAGGCTTGTGGCCAACCCCTCAGAGACCCTGTTTGCACCCCGAACCTTGAAAAAAAAAATATTTCTTGCTGTTACAAGTACCAGCTCATCTGCAAACATGTGTTTCCTATGTCCAGAGCCTTGTGCATTGTATCTGCTTG